GTACTGCTCCGTTCATCTTTGCTTCGATCCTGACTAGTCTCCCAGTCCCTGCCGCCGAAAAACTTATCCAAAGAATTATGCTGCCACCACCATGCTTCACCATAGGTATGGTGCCAGGTTTCCTCCAGACTTGACGCTTGGCATTCAGGCCAAAGAGTTCAATCTTGGTTTCTCATGGTCTAAGAGTCTTTAGGTGCCTTTTGGCAAACTCCAAGCGGGCTGTCAGGTGCCTTTTACTGAGGAGTGGCTTCTGTCTTGCCACTCTACCATAAAGGCCTAATTGGTGGAGTGTTGCAGAGATGGTTGTCCATCCGGAAGGTTCTCCCATCTCCACAGAGAAACTCTAGAGTTCTGTCAGACTGACCATCGGGTTCTTGGTCACCTCCCTGACCAAGGTCCTTCTCCCCCAATTGCTCAGTTTGGCCGGGCGGCCAGCTCTAGGAAGGTGGTTCCAAACTTCTTCCATTTAAGAATGATGGAGTCCACTGTGTTCTTGGGGACCTTCAATGCTGCAGAATTGTTTGGTACCCTTCCCCAGATCTGTGCCTCTACACAATCCTGTCTCAGAGCTCTACCGACAATTCCTTCGATCTCATGTTTTGGTTTTTGCTCTGACACGCAATGTCAACGGTTGGACCTTATATAGACAGGTGTGTGCCTATACAAATCTTGTCCATTCAATTGAATTCGAGTCTCATAGCAAAGGGTCTGAATACCTATGTAAATAAGGTATTATTATTTATTTTTATTTTTATTAATAATATGCAAACATTTCAAAAAACCTGTTTTCACTTTGTCATTATGGGGTATTGTGTGTAGTCTGCTGAGAAAAATTATATATTTAATCTATTTTAGAATAAGGCTGTAACGTAACAAAATGTGGAAAGATTCAAGGCATCTGAATACTTTCCGAAGACACTGTATGTGACACTGTATGCTGTTCATTGACTACAGCTCAGCGTTCAACACCATTGTCCTCTCCAAGCTCATCACCAAGCTTAGTGTCACGATCGTTGACTGATGAAGCGGACCAAGGCGCAGCGTGATAAACATACATACTTTATTCAGTACTTAACACGAACAAAACAACAAACGAAACGTGAAGTCCTAGGTTAACACAAAACCTTAACGGAACAAGATCCCACAACCTAACATGCCAAAAGGCTGCCTAAGTATGGTCCCCAATCAGAGACAACGAGCTACAGCCGTCTCTGATTGGGAACCACCCTGGCCAAACATAGATATAAACGATCTAGAACAAAAACCAATGAAAACTAAACATAGAAAATCCACACCCTGGCTCAACAATTAAGAGTCCCCAGAGCCAGGGCGTGACAGTACCCCCCCCCCCCCCCCCCCCCCCCCCCAAAGGCATGGACTGTGACTGCGCCACACCAACACAACAGGGTAGGGGCCGGGTGGGCATTCTGCCTCGGAGGCGGATCCGGCTCCGGGCGTGACCACCACTCTATCTCTACCCCCCCGTTGCGCCCCTGGTCTGGTCCCGCTGACCGGAGCTTGACTGGACACCGGTGGAGCGGATTGCTCTGGCTCCGGAGTGGAGCAGCTGACCGGTGCCGGACCAGGCACCGGTGGAACAGGCACGGACCGTGCCGGACTGACGACGCGCACCACTGGCTTGGTGCAGGGAGCAGGAACGGGCCTGACCGGGCTGACGACGCGCACCACTGGCTTGGTGCGGGGAGCAGGAACGGGCCGGACCGGGCTGACGACGCGCACCACTGGCTTTGTGCGAGGGACAGGAACAGGCCGGACCGGGCTGGCGACGCACACCACTGGCTTGGTGCGAGGGACAGGAGCAGGCCGGACCGGGCTGGCGACGCGCACCACTGGCTTGGTGCGAGGGACAGGAGCAGGCCGGACCGGGCTGGCGACACGCACCACTGGCTTGGTGCGGGGAGCAGGAACAGGCCGGGCTGGACTGGGAACACGCACCATTGGCTTGGTGCGGGGAGCCGGAACGGGCCGGACTGCGGAGGCGGACTGGAGGTCTGGAGCGGAGAGCTGACACAACCCGTCCTGGCTGAATGCCTATTTCCACACAATCTGTGTGAGGCATCAGCACAGGACGTACAGGGCTGTGCACTCGTACTGGCGCTACAGCACGTGGCACTGGCACAGGATATCCGGGACCGAGGAGGGGTGCTGGAGGCCACTAGCGTTGAGCCGGCACACTCCGTCCTGGCTGCATGCCCACCTTAGCACGACACGTGCGTAGTGCTAGCACAGGACGTACAGGACTGTGCCGGAACAATCGCGGCACAGTACGTGGCTCCGCCAACCACCCTTTTAGCCCCCCCCCCCCCCCCCCCCCCCCCCCCCCCCAACATTTTCTTGGGGCTGTCTCTCGGGCTTCCTCCTCGGCCGGTACCCTCTGTGTTGCCGCTGCTCCTCTCTGTAGCGCGCCTCCACAGTCTCCTCTCCTGCCTGGGCATACACCTTTGCCCATGGCCCTCTGGCCGCGAATATCTCCTCCCATGACCACCATTTGCCCACCTGAGCCATCGCCCTCTTCTCCTCCTGGGCACGCTGCTTGGTCCTCTGGTGGTGGGATCTTCTGTCATGCTGCTTGGTCCTCTGGTGGTGGGATCTTCTGTCACGATCGTTGACTGATGAAGCGGACCAAGGCGCAGCGTGATAAACGTACATACTTTATTCAGTACTTAACACAAACAAAACAGCAAACGAAACGTGAAGTCCTAGGTTAACACAAAACCTTAACGGAACAAGATCCCACAACCTAACATGCCAAAAGGTTGCCTAAGTATGGTCCCCAATCAGAGACAACGAGCTACAGCCGTCTCTGATTGGGAACCATCCTGGCCAAACATAGATATAAACGATCTAGAACAAAAACCAATGAAAAATAAACATAGAAAATCCACACCCTGGCTCAACAATTAAGAGTCCCCAGAGCCAGGGCGTGACACTTAGGACCCTGGGACTCAACACCTCCCTCTGCAACTGGATCCTGGACTTCCTGACGGACCGACCCCAGGTGGTGAGGGTAGGCAAAATCACCTCCGCCATGCTGACCCTCAACACGGGGGTCCAACAGGGGTGTGTGCTTAAACCCATTGTGTAATCCCTTTTCACCCACATCTGCGTGGCCACGCACGACTCCAACACCATTATCAAGTTTGCTGACAACACAACGGTGGTAGACATGATCACCGGCGATGATGAGACAGCCTACATGGAGGAGGTCAGTGACCTGGTAGTGTGGTGCCGGGATAACAAAGTCTCCCTCAACGTCAGTAAGACCAAGGAGCTGATCATGGACTACAGGAAATGGGGGGGCGAGCGCGCCCCCATCCACATCGACGGGGCTGTAGTAGAGCGGGTAGAGAGCTTCAAGTTCCTCGGTGTCCAAATTACTAAGGACTTAAAATGGTCCATACAAACGTGCACAGTCTTAAGGTTGAGAAGGTTTTGCATGGGACCTCAAATCCTCAAATAGTTATACAGCTGCATCATTGAGAGCATCTTGACTGGCTGAATCACTGCTTGGTATGGCAACAGCACCGCCCTCGATCGCGTGGTGCGGACAGCCTAGTACATCACTGGGGCCAAACTCCCTGCCATCCAGGACCTCTATATCAGGCAGCGTGAAAGGAAGGCCCGGAAAATTGTTAAAGACTCCAGCCACCCAAGCCATAGACTGTTCTCTCTGCTTCCGCACGGCAAGCGGTACCGGTGCATCTAGTCTGACACCAACAAGCTCATGAACAGCTTCTATCCCCAAGCCAAAAGAATGCTAAATAGATAACAAAATGGCTACACGGACTATCTAAGTTGACCCTTATATTTGATTTGTATTTCTCTATGCACACTTAGAGGACTCTACACGGTCACGCACACTGACACTCCAACACACCACACACACGCACACACTCTCACATCCAATCATCATATACGCTGCTGCTACTCTGTTTATCATATATCCTGATGCCTAGTCACCTTACCCCTATACATACTGTATCTACCTCTATCACTCCAGTATCCCTGCACATGGTAAATATGGTATTGGAACTAACTCTGTATAGTGTATAGCTTACTTTCTTTCTCATGTTCTTCTTATTTCATATTTTTATTTCTCGTGTGTTTTTTGTTCTACATCATCTTCTTTTTAGTACTACATTAATATTGATTACTGCATTGTTGGGTTTAGAGCTTGCAAGAGGCATTTCACTGTACTTTTGCACGTGACATTAAAACTTCTTCCATCTGTTAGGCCACAGTCTGAGATTAGAATCTGTGTTCCACTTGAAGTGCATATCTCAATTGATATCTTGATTATGCGACAATTATCTGATCCTGAATCAAAATGATTAGATATCCCTGAACAAACTAAACCAGATACGGATGTAGGATCTGAATCTGAGCCTATTTGCTAAAGCAGGAAAATAATCCTGAAGCAACAAGAAATGTTAAATATTATGTGGATTATAATTGATGGACATTTTGGGGAGTTTATACATTTTTTCGTAAGGGAAAATCAAGTCTAACATTTCCAAGTAAAAATTACAAATCCTGAAGCCTTTTTAAACCACTACAAGTTATCCTGCAACAGGGTCAAATGAAGATCATACATCTGTAATTTGTTACATTAACAAACAATAAGCTTTTCCTTGAAACCACACTCCTAAAAGGATATTGCTTTAAAAAATTCCAGTCTTGGCCTGCACTGCAGTAACCCAGTTATTCTAAAAAGAAATGTCTTGCCTCTAATAGCTAAAGTAGGTCCAGTAATCAGTGGGACATATTTGTTAAGCTCTCAGACAGTCACATTCATTCACATACCATTCACTATCAACGGTGTTCTCTCTATTTCGGCTTTTATTCTATTATTCCCAATGACGTCCACAACAGATTATTGCCTCTATAGAAATGCTTTTGAATTCCATAAATGACAAACCAACAAGCCAGGGAATGAATGAAGGACAAAATCATGTTTTTTCTCTCTCTCTCTCTCACAGCTATGGAGAGATGAGGAACGTGTCTAAAGTGTGTATGAGGCTTTCTCCTAACAACTTGGATTAGTGTGTGGATGTCAGGTGAAGGCTAAGGAGTGATGGGAATTTAGATTATGTTTAGGATTTGGCATATAAGCAAGAACCGTATAGGCAAGAACATACAGTGCATTCGGAAAGTATTCAGACCCCTTGACTTTTTCCACATTTTGTTACGTTACAGCCTTATTTTTAAATGGATTAAATAAATAACAATCCTCATCAATCTACACACAATACCCAATAATGACAAAGCGAAAACAGGTTTTTAGAGGTTTATTTACATAAGTATTCAGAAGCTTTGCTATGAGACTCGAAATTGAGCTTGGGTGCATCGTGTTTCCATTGATCATCCTTGAGATGTTTCTACAACTTGATTGGAGTCCACCTGTGGTAAATTCAATTGATTGGACATGATTTGGAAAGGCACACACCTGTCTATATACGGTCCCACAGTTGACAATGCATTACAGAGCAAACACCAAGCCATGAGGTTGAAGGAATTGTCCGTAGAGCTCAGAGACAGGATTGTGTCGAGGCACAGATCTGGGGAGAACACAGTGGCCTCCATCATTCTTAAATGGAAGAACACCAAGACTCTTCCTAGAGCTGGCCACCCGGCAAAACTGAGCAATTGGGGGAGAAAGACCTTGGTCAGGGAGGTGACCAAGAACCCGATGGTCACATTGACAGAGCTCCAGAGTTCATCTGTGAAGATGGGAGAGCCTTCCAGAAGGACAACCATCTCTGCAGCACTCCACCAATCAGGCCTTTATGGCAGTGGCCAGACTGAAACCACTCCTCAGTAAAAGGCACATGACAGGCTGCTTGGAGTTTGCCAAAACGCACCTAAAGGACTCTGACCATGAGAGATTTTATGGTCAGATGAAACCAAGATTGAACTCTTTGGCCTGAATGCCAAGCGTCACGTCTGGAGGAAGCCTGGCACCATCCCTACGGTGAAGCATGGTGGTGGCAGCATCATGTTGTGGGGATGTTTTTCAGCGGCAGGGACTGGGAGACTAGTCAGGATCGAGGGAAAGATGAACAAAGCAAAGTACAGAGATCCTTCATGAAAACCTGCTCCAGAGCGCTCAGGACCTCAGACTGGGGCAAAGGTTCACCTTCTAACAGGAAAACGACCCTAAGCACACACTGAAGACAATGCAGGAGTGGCTTTTGGACAAGTCTGAATGTCCTTGAGTGGCCCAGCCAGAGCCCGGACTTGAACCCGATTGAACATAGGAGAAACTCCCCAAATACAGGTGTGCCAAGCTTGTAGCGTCATACCCAAGAAGACTCGAGGCTGTAATCGCTGCCAAAGGTGCTTCAACAAAGTACTGAGTAAATGGTCTGAATACTTATGTAAATGTAAATCTTTTTTTATTTGTAATACATTTGCATAAATGTCTAAAAACCTGTTTTTGCTTTGTCATTATGGGGTATGGTGTGTTAATTGATGAGGAACATTTTTATTTAATCCATTTTAGAATAAGGCTGTAACGTAACAAAATGTGGAAAAATGGAAGGGGTCTGAATACTTTCCGAATGCACTGTATAGGAGACTGGTCTTGACAGCTAAGTAATACTAAAGATACTCTGGCTTTGCATGAGAACTGTCATGACTCTCTCACTCCTTGGTGAGGATCAAAGGTGCCAGATCAGCTTGGAAAATGTCTGACAGATAAATGTTGTATAAAATATATGATTAAGTATGAGAATACTTTTGTGAAGATAGGAATGTGATAATAGTTTTTTAAACAAACTATGCATAGTGACTAGCCACGCCCTGAGTAACATCAGAAATCGTGTCATCATGATGGAACGCCCCTTTTACCCAGAGGGCATAAAAAGCATTGAAAAACAAATCAACCTTTAGATCAGGAAGCCTGGAGCTGTGGCTACATGGCTTAAAAATGGTTAAACCAGGAAGCATGGAGATGTGGCTACATGGCTTAAAATGGTTAGACCAGAAAGACCAGGAAGCGTGGAGCTGTGGCTACATGGCTTAAAATAATTAGACCAGGAAGCATGGAGATGTGGCTACATGGCTTAAAATGGTTAGACCAGAAAGCATGGAGATGTGGCTGCACGGCTTAAAATGGTTAGACCAGAAAACGTGAGAGTGGCGACTGCACGTTTAGAATGATTAGAACTCTGAATGAGAAAGACCAGCCGACGTGAAGCGCGAGCTCTCATTACAAATGGTTGAACATCTACAGACCAGCCAACGTGCAGCGGGAGCTGAAAGTTACAAATGGTTGACACTAAGACCAGGAAACATGAGACAGTAGTCCATACGTTAGAAATGGTGAAACTCTGAAACTCTCAATCTCTACACGTGAAGAAGACCACGCACTACAGCTTATCATATCAGTCTGCAGCTGTACATGTAAAGTTGTCTAGAACTTTCACTAAAGACACGAGTTGGGAAGGACAATCCCATCTCAGACAACCGTTGGTACATCTGAAGTATCTATTCTAACGAACACTCCACTCGAAGAAAAGCTGAGTCTCACTGAAGTGGAGGACACTCAAACCCTTTTTGAGAAAGTGGTTCAACAGAGAGACGACGATCAAGGACAGCTACGTGTAGATATGCATTGCATTTCTTATCCGAATGAGCGGTGGTTTCCAAATGTAACAACGATAAGTTGAATCTCTGTCTCTCCCTTTCACTTTGACCCCTCCTCTCTTCCCTTTCTATTGACCCCTCCTTCCCCTAACCAAGTAGTCATGCTATTGTTAGTCAAGACCACTAGGGACCTGTTTTCATTGTATTACGTTAGTAATCAGTAACCTATACTGTGTGTGTGTTTGTATTCTCTCTTATTATTTAGTTAGTTAGTAAGTAAATGATTAAGCCAATTTGTGTATTGCTGATTCATCAATAAGGTTAGGGTTCTTGCAGGTTCAAGGATCATGCGAAGTTCAGAATGACACTGATGAGGTAATGATTTAATAAGTGAGTGTTATCGATATATAACATATATTTTAAGAGTTTAATTCGGGAGATGGTAACTTGTTAAACAACTTCTTCCGTGGTGCCCCAAATTCCTAATGAGTTAATTGTTACAGTGCCTTGCAAAAGTATTCATCCCCCTTGGTGTTTTTCCTATTTTGTTACATTACAACCTGTAATTTAAATTGATTTTTATTTGGATTTCATGTAATGGACATACACAAAATAGTCCAAATTGGTGAAGTGAAATGAAAAAATAAATAACGGAAAAGTGGTGCGTGCATATGTATTCACTCCCTTTGCAAGATCTGGTGCAACCAATTACCTTCAGAAGTCGCATAATTAGTTAAATATAGTCCACCTGTGTGCAATCTAAGTGTCACATGATCTGTCACATGATGTCAGTATATATATACACCTGTTCTGAAAGGCCCTAGAGGCTGCAACACCACTAAGCAAGGGGAACCAACAAGCAAGTGGCACCATGAAGACCAAGGAGCTTTTCAAACAGGTCAGGGACAAAGTTGTGGAGAAGTACAGATCAGGGTTGGGTTATAAAAAAAATATCAGAAACTTTGAACATCCCATGGATCACCATTAAATCCATTATTTAAAAAATATGGCATCACAAAAAACCTGCCAAGAGAGGGCCGCCCACCAAAACTCACGGACCAGGCAAGGAGGGCATTAATCAGATAGGCAAAAAAGAGACAAAAGATAACCCTGAAGGAGTTGCAAAGCTCCACAGCGGAGATTGGAGTATCTGTCCATAGGACCACTTTAAGCCATACATTCCACAGAGCTGGCTTTACGGAAGAGTGGCCAGAGAAAAAATAAACAAATAAGCAAACAGGTTTGGTGTTTGCCAAAAGCCATGTGGGAGACTCCCCAAACATATGGAAGAAGGTACTCTGGTCAGATGAGACTAAAATTGAGCTTTTTGGCAATCAAGGGAAACTTTATGTCTGGCGCAAACCCAACACCTCTCATCACCCTGAGAACACCAACCCCACAGTGAAGCATGGTGGTGGCAGCATCATGCTGTGAGGATGTTTTTCATCAGCAGGGACTGGGAAACGGGTCAGAATTGAAGGAATGATGGATGGCGCTAAATACAGGGAAATTCTTGAGGGAAACTTGTTTTAGTCTTCCAGAGATTTGAGACTGGGACGGAGGTTCACCTTCCAGCAGGACAATGACCCTAAGCATACTGCTAAAGCAACACTTGAGTGGTTTAAGGGGAAACATTTAAATGTCTTGGAATGGCCTAGTCAAAGCCCAGACCTCAATCCAATTGAGAATCTGTGGTATGACTTAAAGATTGCTGTACACCAGCGGAACCCCCATCCAACTTTAAGGATCTAGAGCAGTTTTGCCTTGATGAATGGGCAAAAAATCCCAGTGACTAGATGTGCCAAGCTTATAGAGACATACCCCAAGAGACTTGCAGCTGTAATTGCTGCAAAAGGTGGCTCTACAAAGTAGTGACTTTGGGGTGGTGAATAGTTATGCACGCTCAAGTTTTCTGTTTTTTTGTCTTATTTCTTGTTTGTTTCACAATAAAAAATATTTGGCATCTTCAAAGTGGTAGGCATGTTGTGTAAATCAAATGATACAAACCCCCCAAAAATCAATTTTAATTCCAGGTTGTAAGGCAACAAAATAGGAAAAATGCCAAGGGGGGTGAATACTTTCGCAAGCCACAGTACATTATTAATTTAATTGAGTGACAATTAAACATAGTTAGTTGATTCGATAAATAACAGTCATCATATTAATGTACAGTACCAGTCACAAGTTTGGACACACCTACTCATTCAAGGGTTTTTCTTAATTTTTTGCTATTTTCTACATTGTAGAATAATAGTGAAGACATCAAAACTATGAAAAAACACATATGGATTCATGTAGTAACCAAAAAAAGTGTAAAAATAGATATTATATTTGAGATTCTTCAAATTGCCACCCTTTGCCTTGATGACAGCTTTGCACACTTGGCATTCTCTCAACCAGCTTCACCTGGAATGCTTTTCCAACAATCTTGAAGGAGTTCCCACATATGCTGAGCACTTGTTGGCTGCTTTCCTTCACTCTGCTGTCCAACTCATCCCAAACAATCTCAATTGGGTTGAGGTTGGGGGATTGTGGAGGCCAGGTCATCTGATGCAGCACTCCATCACTCTCCTTCTTGGTCAAATAGCCCTTACACAGCCTGGAGGTGTGTTGGGTCATTGTCCTGTTGAAAAACAAATGATAGTCCCAATAAGCCCAAACCAGATGGGATAGCGTATCTCTGCAGAATGCTGTGGTTGCCATGCTGGTTAAGTGTGCCTTGAATTCTAAATAAATCACAGACAGTGTCACCAGCAAAGCACCCCCACACCATAATGCTTTCGGTGTGAAATACACATGCGGAGATCATCCGTTCACCCACACCGCGTCTCACAAAGACATGGCGGTTGGATCCAAAAATCTCCAATTTGGACTCCAGACCAAAGGACCTATTTCCACCGGTCTAATGTCCATGTGCTCGTGTTTCTTGGCGTAAGCAGTTATCTTCTTCTTATTGGTGTCCTTTAGTAGTGTTTTCTTTGCAGCAATTCGACCGTGAAGGCCTGATTCACACAGCCCCCTCCGAACAGTTGATGTTGAGATGTGTCTGTGATTTGAACTCTTTGTAGCATTTATTTGGGCTGCAATTTCTGAGGCTGGTAACTCTAATAAATGTATCCTCTGCAGCGGAGGTAACTCTGGGTCTTCTATTCCTGTGGCAGGTTTCATGAGAGCCAGTGTCATCATAGCGCTTGATGGTTTTTGCGACTGCACTTTCTTGAAAGAAACAAAGTTCTTGAAATGTTCCATATTGACTGACCTTCATGTCTTAAAGTAATGATGGACTTTTGTTTCTCTTTGCTTATTTGAGCTGTTCTTTTACCAAATAGGGCTATCTTCTGTATTTATGGTTACTACATGGTTCCATATGTGTTATTTCATAGTTTTGATATCTTCGCTATTATTCTACAATGTAAAAAATAGTAAAAATAAAGAAAAACCCTTGAATGAGTAGGTGTGTCCAAACTTTTGACTGGTAGTGCAAGTTATGTCACGACATATTGATGCCCCCGTGCGAGGAATCTAAGATGGAATGAGACCTTACTGTTGAATTCAGTCTATATGAATTGTGCAGCACATTATGTTATACACCCAGATTATGTTCTACACCAGTAGAGCCGTAGGCATTATTTGTTGTTGAGGTGTGTGTGTTTCCATTTGAACAAGATACTAGAGTTTGCCTCCGGTGTTGTTTATCTGACAAAGTCAGCGTGTAGGGTGAATTACTGAATGCTACGAGCCAGGACATATGGGCCGGCCGATTTAGGTATTCTGAGAAATAGACTCATTGACCAAAACGTAGTACTATTTCTGTCTCTCGCGTTTCTAGAGCGAGGACATATGGGCCGGCCGATTATAGAAATTTGAGTACATAAATTACCTTGACCGAAGCGAGTAATTATCTCTCCATCTCTCGCGTTTCAGTAGCGTGAGTAGATCAAGGTGTATTTCTTAATGTTTCCGCGCGTTCCGGTAAACATTGCGAAAATTAACGCTGATTTAAGGGTGAACGTGAGACATCATTGGTAAACCCCCGTTCCCTTGTTATAGGGGACTCTGTTGTGCTGGGAAGAGAGATTCCTGTACAAATAGGGTTAGCTTTGCACTAGCTGCTAAGCTAACAAAGGGAGAGCAGAAATGTTTTCCTTTGTTCACAGTGAAGCGGTTTTGGAGCAGTGGCCTCTTCCTTGCTGAGCGGCCTTTCAGGTTCTGTCGATATAGGACTCGTTTTACTGTGGATATAGATACTTTTGTACCTGTTTCCTCTAGCATCTTCACAAGGTCCTTTGCTGTTGTTCTGGGATTGATTTGCACTTTTCGCACCAAAGTACGTTCATCTCTAGGAGACATAACGCGTCTCCTTCCTGAGCGGTATGACGGCTGCGTGGTTCCATGGTGTTTATAATTGCGTACTATTGTTTGTACAGATGAACGTGGTACCTTCAGGCATTTAAAATTGCTCCCAAGGATGAACCAGACTTCTGGAGGTCTACAATTCTTTTTCTGAGGTCTTGGCTGATTTCGTTTGAATTTCCCATGATCTCAAGCAAAGAGGCACTGAGTTTGAAGGTAGGCCTTGAAATACATCCACTGGTACACCTCCAATTGACTCAAATGATGTAAATTAGCCTATCAGAAGCTTCTAAAGCCATGACATAATTTTCTGAAATTTTTCAAGCTATTTAAAGGTACAGTCAACTTAGTGTATGTAAACTTCTGACTCACTGGAAATGTGATACAGTGAATTATAAGTGAAATTATCTGTCTGTAAACAATTGTTGGAAAAATTACTTGTGTCATGCATATATATACATGTAGGCCTATGTATTTTAATATACACCTCCATGCTTCACGGTTGGGAATGTGTTCTTGGGGTTGTACTCATCCGTCTTCTTCCTCCAAACACGGCGAGTGGAGTTTAGACCAAAAAGCTCTATTTTTGTCTCATCAGACCACATGACCTTCTCCCATTCCTCCTCTGGATCATCCAGATGGTCATTGGCAAACTTCAGACGCGCCTGGACATGCGCTGGCTTGAGCAGGGGGACCTTGCGTGCGCTGCAGGATTTTAATCCATGACGGCGTAGTGTGTTACTAATGGTTTTCTTTGAGACTGTGGTCCCAGCTCTCTTCAGGTCATTGACCAGGTCTTGCCGTGTAGTTCTGGGCTGATCCCTCACCTTCCTCATGATCATTGATGCCCCACAAGGTGAGATCTTGCATGGAGCCCCAGACCGAGGGTGATTGACCGTCATCTTGAAATTCTTCCATTTTCTAATAATTGCGCCAACAGTTGTTGCCTTCAAACCAAGCTGCTTGCCTATTGTCCTGTAGCCCATACCAGCCTTGTGCAGGTCTACAATTTGATCCCTGATGTCCTTACACAGCTCTCTGGTCTTGGGCATTGTGGAGAGGTTGGAGTCTGTTTGATTGAGTGTGTGGACAGGTGTCTTTTATACAGGTAACGAGTTCAAACAGGTGCAGTTAATACAGGTAATGAGTGGAGAACAGGAGGGCTTCTTAAAGAAAAACTAACAGGTCTGTGAGAGCCGGAATTCGTACTGGTTGGTAGGTGATCAAATACTTATGTCATGCAATAAAATGCAAATTAATTACTTAAAGATCATACAATGTGATTTTCTGGATTTTTGTTTTAGATTCCGTCTCTCACAGTTGAAGTGTACCTATGATAAAAATTACAGACCTCTACATGCTTTTAAGTAGGAAAACCTGCAAAATCGGCAGTGTATCAAATACTTGTTCTCCCCACTGTGTATATATATATATATATTCTGAGAGTTTAATTCGGGAGATGGTGACTCGTTGTCACGATCGTCGGATACAGAGGACCAAGGCGCAGCGTGGAAGGTGAACATATTTATTAAAATAATGATTACACGAACAAAAACAACAAATCGATACGTGACGTCCAAAGGTGCAAAACACAAACCTACACAGGAACAAGATCCCACAAACACTGTGGGAAAACTGGCTGCTTAAGTATTGTTCCCAATCAGAGACAACAAGCAACAGCTGATACACGTTGCCTCTGATTGAGAACCACACTGGCCAACATAGAAATACTAAACTAGAACGAAAACAAAACGAAAAATCACACCCTGGCTCAACATACTAGAGTCCCCAGAGACAGGGCGTGACAGTACCCCCCCCCCAAAGGCGCGGACTCCGACCCCGCCAACCAAACACCACAGGGGAGGGACCGGGTGGGCACTCCGCCTTGGCGGCGGTTCCGGCTCCAGGCATGATCCCCACTCCCTCTCTAACCCCCCAAAGTACCCCTGGTCCGGTCTGGCCCTGCTGACCAGAGCTGGACTGCACACTGGTGGAGCGGATTGCTCTAGCTCCGGCGTGAAGCAGCTGACCCGTGCCGAACCAGGCACCGGTGGAACAGGCACGGGCTGTGCCAGACTGACGACGCACACCACTGGCTTGGTGCGGGGAGCAGGAACGGGCCGAGCCGGGCTGACGAAACGCACCCCTGACTTGGTGCGGGGAGCAGGAGCGGGACGGACCGGGCTGACGAAGCGCACCATGACTTGGTGCGTGGAGCAGGAACAGGCCGGACCGTACTGGGGACACACATCACTGGCCCTACGCAGGGATCAGGAACGGGCCGGACCGGACTGGTAACACACCCCAGTACCTCTCGCCGTGCCTCTACACTTTCCCTCTCCTCTGTGACCAGTGGCCCCCTTAACCTGGCGGCCTCCTCTGCAAACCCGCTGGACCGCTCTATCGCGGCCTCCTGCTGCCCCGTCGTCCACGGCGTGAGCCCCCCCCTAAAAATTTTCTGGCAGTCTCTCCTCCCCGTGGGCCAGGCCCAGTCGAGGTTGATGTCCTTTAGCGATACCTCTGACGCTGGCTCCTGGACACACTGCTTGGTCCAGTGTTGGTGGGATCTTCTGTCACGATCGTCGGATACAGAGGACCAAGGCGCAGCGTGGAAGGTGAACATATTTATTAAAATAATGATTACACGAACAAAAACAACAAATCGATACGTGACGTCCAAAGGTGCAAACCACAAACCTACACAGGAACAAGATCCCACAAACACTGTGGGAAAACTGGCTGCTTAAGTATTGTTCCCAATCAGAGACATTTACATTTACATTTTAGTCATTTAGCAGACGCTCTTATCCAGAGCGACTTACAGGAGCAATTAGGGTTAAGTGCCTTGCTCAAGGGCACATTAACGTCATTTAGCAGACGCTCTTAGCCAGAGCGACTCACAAATTGGTGCGTTCACCCTATACAAGCAACAGCTGATACACGTTGCCTCTGATTGAGAACCACACTGGCCAACATAGAAATACTAAACTAGAACGAAAACAAACGAAAACTCACACCCTGGCTCAACATACTAGAGTCCCCAGAGCCAGGGCGTGACACTCGTTAAACAACTTCTTCCATGGTTCCCCAAATTCCTATTGAGTTAATTGTTTAATTATTATTTTAATCGAGTTACAATTACACATAGTTACTTGATTCGATAAATAACAGTCATCACATTAATGTAAGTCACGTCATGACACACTTCTTGAACATTAGCTGCATACTGTTCAACATTATATAAACTTGGAAATTCCTTTTAAATGATGAAACATTGATAATAAAACATTAACAAGAAATAAAAACACGATTAACATTCACAGTTGATTATTATGTTTACAAATCCAAGACTTATGGCCTCTGTTCTATAATCACACTATGCCCGCTCTTATTTCCATCTCTCATCGGACAACAGAATGACATTTCAGCTGGAGCTTTTGACTTTCTCCATTTCCTCCTTCTGGTTCCTAAGAGAGTGATAGCACAAGACTTGAAAAGCAAAAAGAAACACAAAATGTTATTATTACTAATGTGTTAAGCTATGCATAATTATTTATGCTAAGAAAAATAAAAGTTTAAGAACATGACGATTCCCACTCTCTCTTCGCCTGACTCTATGCCTTCGGGATACTTTTTCTGATGGGTTCCACAAAAATGAAGGCCCTAAAAAACCTCCTCATGCTTTCACCTAGTCTTCCCCCTGTCAGGCCACAGGTTCCAAGAGGTGTTCCCAAGCCATGTCATTTTCACTTCGCTCCCCATCTCCTTCCTCATCCATGGCCACCCGATATATACGTGCGGTGGCCCTAATCAACTTTACCTCATCTTGAGGTAACTCAGTACTGTATATACGTTTCACATCACTGCCCTCAAAATGTTGTCCAGTGTACAATTACCCCAACATCTATCCTTTTTACATGGTGCATTAACCAATAAAGCAACTGACACAAAAACTATGGCTTTTAAAGTAGCTCCCAGACCCAACCCAACTGCATGTCTACAGTGGAATCTACTCTTCCTCTTCTCTTTAGCTCCACTTCCTTTATCATGGCGTCTTCCAGAAGTGTGAACCCACCGAGGAGAGGCTGTGGTCTTTACTACTGCAGGTGCTGTAAGGAGTACTGTGTGTGGACCAGACCAACGCTGTCCCAACACTCCAGCCTGGTGGATCTTGATGTGGATCTCGGTTATCTCCTGCTCCTCATGTGCTGCTTTCCCCTAGGAATGTACACACTGCAACGCATGGGTCATTTCCTGACGATAGGACAACATAGACTCCCATTATGGCCAGATCACTAATTTGTGTCATGTGACTAACAACACCCGATACTCCCATCGGTCTCCCATTTACCACTTCATGTGGCATGAGTCCTGTGGTGGCGTTGGAAGAGTATCCAACCTAATACAACCCTGAGTCACATGTTTCTTAATCACACTCTTTATGAGATGTGATGCTATTATTACAGCGAACTTCCCTTCCCTTCCCTTCTGAGTGCATTTACTAATTTTGTTAATGTCAGGGAGGAACACATTTTTTTCAATAGCTGTCACAAATATTTACATTTGTTCCAGACAAGTTGCTGGGTCACATGGCTCACGAGAGGACGACCAGGCGGGAGTACGATAGTTTCCTACTAATTTTGCCAACATTGCTTTGGGCAATAGGGAACGGACAACATTATCATAATCACCAGCGTGGAATCCCAAAATTCTGCCCTGTTTCCTCAGGAAACTGATAAACTCTTGACCGTCTTTAACCGGGTCAGGCACTACTTTCATTATGCTACACATTTCACCACGACAAAACTCTGGCATCGTTTTTTTGTTAGAGGTCAGTGTTCTGTATGGGTTTAACTCGCTGGTATTGTGAGGAAATGATCAATTATATGTATATGGGGCCTTTCTTGGCTGAGGAAAAGCTCAGGCAGGTTTTAAATCAGCAATCTTGGGATTTACAATTGTGACGCGTGAGTTGAAGGAGTCAGGCGCAGGAGGGTAAATCACAGAGTAACAGGATTTATTCAGGAAAACAGAGTTACGCAGTAATGCGTCAAAAACAGTCCAGTGTGCAAAACAGGCGCACTGGAACCAACAAGGCACACAGGGAAAATAACCTGGCGATACAAAATACAAGGAGCTCCACCGAGCTTCACTATCCTCACAATAAACAATCACACACAAAGACAAGGGGGCAGAGGGAACACTTATACAGGTACTGATGAGGGAATATGAACCAGGTGTGTGTAATGAACAAGACAAAACCAATGGAATGATGAAATTAGGAGCGGCAGTGGCTAGAAGGTCGGTGACGACGAACGCCGAAGCCTGCCCGAACAAGGAGAGGAGGCAGCCTCGGAGGCAGTCATGACAACAATAGTTTGCCTATGTTTCTCAAGGGCACAAAAAATAGGAACCGTGAAAACTTCTGATAAAATGTTAATTTTTATTTCCCAATTTACACGCGGAGCTCCTTTACTCCCCATGCAATATTAAGTCAAGTAATTATATTGAAAATATGAAGGCCATTGCCCTAATTTTCTCCCATACACATCTCCATTTTCTTGTCAATCTATAATATAACAGATGTGTGGCCATATTGGTCTATTTACTATGACTAATGGTTACCAGACTGTCGTATAGTGGTTATTTGACACCATCTCAATCCATAGTTGTCCCATTCAGTGGCTTGTTCCATTACGCCTCTTTGTTTACTTATTTATTCATTTACACTTTGGTTTTTATGTTATAAATTAATTAACTTAATTTGCATTTTAATATCACAGCACAAAACAGCCGTGATGTAACATGGTAATTAGAGAACCAAAACAGGAGAGCCAAAGCCAACACTGGGCTGCTCTAAATGGAAATGACATTTTCATGATTCTTAATTAAAAATGATCCCTGTGAAAAAGAAATGTGAACTTCTGTCCTGTTCTGAATAGGTGTTTATTTATTTTATCCCTTAAATGTAGATCATGTTTTGTTACATTCTTACAAATAAGAGCTTACTCTGAGCTCACAGTTTACGTGAGATTGACAAATGTGTTGTTGATGGAGGTACCTTAGTTCTTGTGACAATCCTAGGTTTATTCACAGGTTGCGGCCTTGAACGTAGAACCTCTCTGAAACCACTCTTATTCCTGTCAGTCAGTCTTTGGCCTCCGCATGTCAGATTAGCAAAGGCTTTCTCCGTTGGCAGTGACCTTAAGACTTGACCTACATGTCTGTTAAAATCAAACGGTTTCTGTTTTGATATGTTAGCGTTTGACAGAGCTTTTGGTAAACATTAAATGCTAAACAGTCTCTCTTTCTCTACCCTCTCTCTCTCTCTTTTCACTTTCTTTTATCCCCAGTGGTTATGAATTTGACTATGACTACTACAGGGATGACTTCTACAGTCGGTATGTATGAAATAATTAACTTACTTTTATGAAATTTGAAAAACTGTAAATGACATATGCCAAATTTAAAACCGTTCAAATTAAAATAGATTGAGATTGAAACATTCTCAGCAGAGAGTATTCTGCTTTAAATTGTTCCATCTGTTTTGCTAAGCAACCTTCACTACATTTGCCTTGAGATGAAGAAGAATATTATTAAGAGAACTCTATTCCGTTGTTTCATCCATCCATTTGAGCACATCCTTAAACTTTATGGACCAGTGTTTTCTTTCTCTAATTTGTTTGGTGTTCAGTGCTTTTATCTGGTGAGACATTTACTGAATGTTAACTTGCACTGAGAGCTGTGATAAAAATCTACTGGCACTGTGAAATTAGTGAAGGAAGACACCTCACTTTGACATTTACATCTTATTTTATTTATCCCTGCTTATTTTGAAGATGGATTGGAATATTCTTGGTAGTAAATTACTGTGTAATAGTAATTTGATCGATGTGGAAAAGAAAGAAAAGTCTGGCATGTGAGAGAATTGACATTTATTTGCATGCAAAAGGGCACACTTGAATCAGAATGTTTTAAATGGTAGGGCACATATTTGTTTGTCATTGATAAGAAATAATATATAGGTAAGAGCTCATAGAATGAGATATAAGGTATAGAAATAGATTGTGAGAAATAGGCCTACGCTATGAGTAATAGGTTGTGAAAATGGAACCTAGGACATTTGATAAGCAAGCCCAAGCCAGAAAGATTATAAATTATACAGTTACCATCAATGTTATATGTAATATTGTTGGGTGATATACTATACTTCATAAGTCCTTGATGACAGGATACACATACTGTAAGGTGTCATTCCCCCCCCCCGCCCTCCCCTCCCCTCCCTCCCCCTCCCCTCCCCCTCTTCAGGCTGTTTGACTACCATGGCCGGGTGGCACCTCCCCCCAGGGCGGTGGTCCCCTTGAAGCGCTCCCGGGCCCTTACTCCATCCATACGCAGTGGGAAGACATCCTTCCCCATCAAGACCACCTCCTATTCCTCCTCTTCCTCCAGACCACCCACCTCCTTCTCCTCCTCTACCTCTTCCGTACTCAAGTGTAGGTTCACCGAGACGTTCTCCTGTTATATACTCTATGTGGCTGATTCCAATGTAGCAATACTATCATTGGAAAATGAAGAACACAAATAGCTAACATTCAGCTAAACAAATTAGATTTTGAATCGTGGAATGTGAGAGGGATACATAATCCAATGAAGCAGGAAAATATGTACAGACAGATTAAGTTGCTTAATATACTACAACTATTTCACATACGGTGATGTCTGAAATTATTGATATCCTTGATAAAGATGAGCAAAAATGACTATAAAATAAATAATTGAAATATTGAGCTATATTGTATGCTCCAAAAACTTCTGAAATTATATTATTGTACACTAAAACATACAGTAGGTATGGGGTTCTTTTCTGCTAATGTATTCTCATTAAGGCGCCAAACTGTCCAATTGTGTGTGTGTAGCCAAATAATTTTTTTGTGATCTGACCAAAGCACCGGTTCCAATCCAAGTGCCAATTCCGTTTAGCAAACTCCAGGTGTTTACATTTGTTGGATGACATTTATTAACTTTTATTTAATCAGGAGAGCCCAATTGAGACCAGGGTCTCATTTTCAATGGTGCCCTGAGACCATAAAGTAAAAGATAAAAAAATATATAACAAGATACAATAACAAGTACATTACATTAGAACATCACTAACATCACAGCGATCATAAACAAGTTATTAAATCAATCAAAGCAATTGCACACCTCGGTTAACTCATTTATCATCAGGGGTTTAAAATGCCCTAGTGGCACCAGGGAATCCAAATGTAAAGAATTTTGTAAGTGATTCCAAAAAGTGAGAGTGAAAACTAAAAGCGGATTTACCTAATTCCGTGGAGACCCGAGGAATTTGAAGAGTTCACCAACCCTGTGAACGGGTTTGGTTTCTCACTCTTTTATACATTAGCAACGAAGATAGGTAAGTTGGAAGCTTGTGTAGTAGGGCTTTGTAAACAAAAAGGGAGTACTGAATTGATCTACGGGACTTTAATAAGGACCAGCCAACCTTTTGATACAGGATGGAGTGGTGAGTATTAAAACTGTCACCAGTGATAAAACGAATGGTGTTATTGTAGACGGCATCCAATGGTTTAAGAGTAGTGGCTGCCTCTATCTGGTAAATGGTGTCACTATAATCAAGAACTGGCAGGAAAGGCGACTGTACAATCTGCTTCCTGATATATGAAAAAAATACATTTTTTTAACATTAAGTCTTTGTCATTCCAGATGCCCAGATATTTGTAGGCGGGAACCCGATCAATGGGAGAACCATTCAATTAATAAATATGCAGTCCATCTGAAACATTCTTGCGAGAACTAGAGAACAACATGTATTGCTCTTTGGCCACACACACCAGTGGTAGGTTTGGCGTTGAAATGAGAATGCATGGGAAGAAAATAACTCCATACCTACTGTAAAAAATGGTGGTGGATTTTTGATGTTATCAGGCTATTTTGCTTCCACTGGTCCTGGAGCCCTTGTTAAGGTCAACAGCATCATGAACTTTACCAAGTACCAGGATATTTTAGCCCAAAACCTGATTCGCTCTGCCAGGAGGCTGAAACTTGGCCGCAAGTGAAACGTCTAGGATCAACAATGGCTCAGCCACAAAGGGGTACAGTAGGCCACACAAGCTCACAGAACGGGACCGCCGAGTGCTGAAGCGAGTAGCACATAAAAATTGTCTGTCCTCGGTTGAAACACTCACTACCGACTTCCAAACTGCCTCTGGAAGCAACATCAGCACACAAACTGTTAGTCGGGAGCTTCATGAAATGGGTTTCCATGGCTGAGCAGCTGCACACAAGCCTAAGATCACCATGCGCAATGCCAAGCATCGGCTGGAGTGGTGTAAAGCTCGCTGCCATTGGAGTCTGGAGCAGTGGAAACGCGTTCTCTAGTGATGAATCACGCTTCACCATCTGGCAGTCCAACGGACGAATCTGGATGCCAGGAGAATGCTACCTGCCCAAATGCATAGTGCCAACTGTAAAGTTTGGTGGAGGAGGAATAATGGTCTGTTTTTTTTTTGTGGTTCAGGCTAGGCCCCTTAGTTCCAGTGAAGGGAAATCTTAATGCTACAGCATACAATGACATTCTAGATGATTCTGTGCTTACGACTTTGCTGCAGGGCCTTCTCCAAACTGTTGTCACAATGTTCCAACATCTAGTGGAAAGCCTTCCCAGAAGAGTGGAGGCAGTTATAGCAGCAAAGGGGGGACCAACTCAATATTAATCCCCATGATTTTGGAATGAGATGTTCAACAAGCAGGTGTCCACATACTTTTGGTCATGTAGTGTGTATCCCACTGGTGGCTGAGTTGAATATTTTGTTATTTATATAATTTTAATCGTTTAGAAGACACTCGTATCCAGAGCAACTTACACAAGAAATTAGGGTTAAGTGTCTTGCTCAAGAACACATCGACAGATTTTTCACATAGTCTGTTTCAAACCAGCGACCTTTCGGTTACTGGCCCAACACTCTTAACCGCTAGGCTACCTGCCACCTTCAACTTTTAAATGTCTTAACAAAGTCTTCCAAACTGGCAACGACTACAGGTAGTGATGTTACGTTTGATACCGGTGCGCCAAGGCATGCATCGAAATTGCTGGGCAACTAACTTTGAAGCAGTGTGCCGATGCGTGTATAGCTTTATCAGAAGTACGTCATCAATGATGTCCGAAGCTTTTTAAAACCACGTGTTGTAAAATGCAAGATCCTACTGATTTCGCTGTGGTTCTGGTGCTTTCTTTGTTTCCAAGCTGCTTAAAACACCGACCTCTACTGGACACCGTACTTACAAATATAGTTAGGATTTTGCCTGTCTAGTAGCTTAGCACTTAGAGTAGGGAACTATTGAACATTCAAGGATTTGAGGGTTTGAGGTCGAATCCCATTGAAGGTACATTATTTAGAAAAGTGTTTTATGTGGTTAGGGTTAGGGTTGTTCAAATAATTTGTTTCATTTAGTATAATTTACGCTTCTGTCTTAAGCATCCTAAATAATGCCATAGATTCAGTTTTAGAAAAAGAGTCAACTTGAAGGCAAAAAGAGAAGCATGATGTAAGATGCAAACCTGGTATTCCAACTGATTATAGGCTACTAAAGCCAACAACTTACCACTGTGCCACAGAGTTCTGATTAAAACAGTGGAGAAAAACAATGTTTATCTGGTAATCACGCTGCTATTTATTGCTGACCAGCAGATGTCACTAAAGTGCATTGTTAACAAATAATGTGCTCAGAGTAATGAACCACACAGTTTGGTGAAAACCTCGGTTTCCCATTACTAACTACAGGGCAAAACAGACGAAAAGGACATGGTAAAATGTTCAACCATTAATAGTTTAAGACTTGCTACCACTCCAATATGTCCCCTATACATTTTACATTGATGGGGCACTACTACCACATACCAGTTAAATTGGTACAGCACTCTCACTAACGGGAGCAACAAATATAGCTACTTACAAGGCACACCTTAAAAAAATTGAATGAGCCAGAAACAACAATACCATGCACCCACTAGTGGTCAATAGGTTTTTGGCGCTCCAAAAATACGTTACGTTACTGTATTCTGTGGGATGGAATTACAATATCATTCGAAATACAGCAATTCTTTCCCCGCCCATTAATATTTTCCAACCATGCAGCAAATTATTTATTGTTCATCATTTGTTACACAACATAATAATGGCATCCCCTTGTATTTCCTGATTATGTTCCCAAAAAAAAAAAAATTTATAAGTAAAGGTTGGATACAACTGTTAGTGCAGGTAGCGTACAGAAATCAAGCAGCATGGTGGATGTAAGTCATTAACTCATCTCCAAATTGAATGCAGCGGGTTAATATTTGGAATAGGAGAACCATACAAGGTCCGATACATTGATATGTTGATGAAAGGATAGAATGATAGGAGGAGCCTAGGGTACGACCCGATGATAACATCAGTTCCGTGATAATGAAAGGGAATCGTGGAGGGGAGTTTTGTATCAAATAAATCAGGTAAAATAAACACACATTAAGGTAGTAATAAATACATTTATATCCTCTCTGTCTGTTTTTATGTCTCAGCAGTGAAGACGGACCAGCTCCAGACCATCAAACTAGAGCTGACTCAGATCAAGATGAAAATCGACTCTCTGTTGGGTCGCCTGGAGAAGATCGAGAAGCAGCAGAGAGCCGAGTCCGGTAAGCAAGAAAGAGGGGGAGAGAGAGGGGGGGGGGGGAAGAGAGGGGGAGAGTGAGAGAGAGCGAGAGAGGGAAAGGGTGTCAGAATGAGAGAGAGAGAGAGAGAGAGAGAGAGAGTGAGAGAGAGAGGGAAAAGGTGAGAGCGCAAGAGAGAGATTATGAGGGGGGAACCTGCCAGCAAAAAACACCAAACGCTGGGGGAAGGAAATTAAGAGTGCACACTAGCCATCCGTCTTGCTGACAGAATGGGAAGATAAGAAGCCCTAGCTCTCTGTCATAACAGCAGACATGTGTCAACACTGGGCTAATTCAGTTCATATGAGGGGCCTTTATAGTTTGTCCTTGACTAGAGGAGAGTCTCACAGCAGGGGTGAAGTAGTTGGTGAAGTTCAACTTTTAAAGCTTATTCAGATGCTAGACACAGTGAAGAATTCACCAATACTGATTAGTATGATCCTCTAATAGTATGAATCTCAATTGCAAGTCTCTCCTTTTCCTTGCTACTTTTTGTCACCAGTTGTTACTTTGGTCTCACTTCTTTGTCCTATTCTCATATTTTTTTCACTCTGTCTCTTCTTTTCACTTTTTCTCCAGAGGCTCCGAGAAAGTACGAGGACAACTGTGATTCTCCCCACGAGAAGTCTGTGTCGGAGAAAGCCGAGACCTCCGGAGAGGAGACTGGCGATGGGGCGCTGGATGTCGAGGCCGGGGAGATGACCGATAGGGGCGAGGACGACTACGACGAAGACAACAGCTACAATTTGGTAGGGAAAATGAGTGATTAAGGGCAGCCTGGAAAGGGGGACAAGGGAGACAGTGGTTTGGGATGGGAGATTTCAATTGGGCACACCAGTCTTGCCCTTAAGAAAGTTAATTCTGCCGAATTATTCATGGGTCCAGATCTGAGTGTGAGGTTGCTCATGGGTGAATGGTGAGGGCACCTCAACTGACAGTTTCTCTCTGGTGGCTTTGGCTCAAGTGGAGGCGGTGGCAGGTCTCTGTTCACATACGCACAAATGCACGTGCACACGCACACATACATACCATACACACACACACACACCTGCTGTCACGGGTTGTAATTTAAACAGGGGGACTTGGAAGCCTGTCTTAACCAGTCCGAATATGAAAATTAAGATGGATTTGCTACTGAGGGCACTGAAAGTGTTCTTCAAAGTCACGGTCTTTATACTCTAAAAAGAGATAGACTTAGGGAAAAGTGGAACTCTTTGACAACTTCTGGAGTGGCTGAGATGACACCTTTTATCAATTAGTGATCACTTCAGATCACAACAACTTTGAACTCCTTTATTGATATATCTGACATTAATTTCCACAAATAGTATGCTATATATCTTCCCTGTTGTGTCACTAGAGTCTGGCTCCTCACAGAGTACACAGTTCAAGCAGGAAGATCAAAGGAATTACAGTGAGGGGAAAAAAGTATTTGATCCCCTGCTGATTTTGTATGTTTGCCCACTGACAAAGAAATGATCAGTCTATAATTTTAATGGTAGGTTTATTTGAACAGTGAGAGACAGAATAACAACAAAAAACTCCATAATAACGCATGTCAAAAATGTTATAAATTGATTTACATTTTAATTAGGGAAATAAGTATTTGACCCCCTCTCAATCAGAAAGAGTTCTGGCTCCCAGGTGTCTTTTATACAGGTAACGAGCTGAGATTAGGAGCACAACCTTAAAGGGAGTGCTCCTAATCTCAGCTTGTTACCTGTATAAAAGACACCTGTCCACAGAAGCAATCAATCATTCAGATTCCAAACTCTCCACCATGGCCAAGACCAAAGAGCTCTCCAAGGATGTCAGGGACAAGATTGTAGACCTACACAAGGCTGGAATGGGCTACAAGACCATCGCCAAGCAGCTTGGTGAGAAGGTGACAACAGTTGGTGTGATTATTCGCAAATGGAAGAAACACAAAATAACTGTCAATCTCCCTCGGCCTGGGGCTCCATGCAAGTTCTCACCTCGTGGAGTTGCAATGATCATGTGAACGGTGAGGAATCAGCCCAGAACTACACGGGAGGATCTTTTCAATGAAGAAAACAATTGGTAACACACTACGCCGTGAAGGACTGAAATCCTGCAGCACCCGCAAGGTCCCCCTGCTCAAGAAAGCACATATACAGGCCCGTCTGAAGTTTGCCAATGAACATCTGAATGATTCAGAGGAGAACTGGGTGAAAGTGTTGTGGTCAGATGAGACCAAAATCAAGCTCTTTGGCATCAACTCAACTCGCATTGTTTGGAGGAGGAGGAATGCTGCCTATAACCCCAAGAACACCATCCCCACCGTCAAACATGGAGGTGGAAACATTATGCTTTGGGGGTGTATTTCTGCTAAGGGGACAGGACAACTTCACCGCATCAAAGGGACGATGGACGGGGCCATGTACCATCAAATCTTGGGTGAGAACCTCCTTCCCTCAGCCAGGGCATTGAAAATGGGTTGTGGATGGGTATTCCAGCATGACAATGACCCAAAAACACACGGCCAAGGCAACAAAGGAGTGGCTCAAGAAGAAGCACATTAAGGTCCTGGAGTGGCTTAGCCAGTCTCCAGACCTTAATCCCATAGAAAATCTGTGGAGGGAGCTGAAGGTTCGAGTTGCCAAACATCAGCCTCGAAACCTTAATGACTTGGAGAAGATCTGCAAAGAGGAGTGGGACAAAATCCCTCCTGAGATGTGTGCAAACCTGGTGGCCAGCTACAAGAAACGTCTGACCTCTGTGATTGCCAACAAGGGTTTTGCCACCAAGTACTACGTCATGTTTTGCAGAGGGGTCAAATACTTATTTCCCTCATTAAAATGCAAATCAATTTATAACATTTTTGACATGTGTTTTTCTGGATTTTTTGGTTGTTATTCTGTCTCTCACTGTTCAAATAAACCTACCATTAAAATTATAGACTGATCATGTCTTTGTCAGTGGGCAAATGTACAAAATCAGCAGGGGATCAAATACTTTTTTCCCCTCACCGTATCTGTGGGGTTCATCTATGGTTCAACGCAACCATGCTTTCCCTATTATGGGATGTTTATGCCACATTATAAAAGGGAGCGGGTGCATGCCATCCAAGATCTATGCCTTGTCTTCTCACTAATAGAATATATTATTTTTCCCAGTGAGTGTGTGGGAGATTTATTTGTTTCTGCATTCAAGGTCATATTGATCAGAGATAGTGGTAATGTACACTGACTGGCAGAACTTCTATCCAACAACTTGAAAAGCCCTGAATTGAGCTCTGATTTAAGCGGGATTTGTTTTATAGCTGATTACATTAGAACTGCCCAGATTGGTTTTTAAACACAAATAAATACTAATACATTTTGTGTCCTTTCTTTTCAGATAGAGAACCATGTTTCTGACATTGACAACTGAGAACAGGTAAGAATGTGGAACCAATAACCTTTAGAAAATTATATAATCTAAGCTTGTGTATGTTTGGTCAGCCATTTTAGGTTCTCTAATGTTTTCATTTAGTTTCATGACCCTTAGGTCCTCACAAATGACAACTATCGGAGTGTTTCTTTCATCTTTACCATCACCAAGCATCCATTCATCAATCATGAATATGCCATTTAGCAGATGCTTTTATCCAAAGCGACTTACAGTCATGTGCGCATACATTTTTTAAGTATGGGTGGTCCCGGGCATCGAACCCACTACCCTGGCGTTACAAGCGCCATGCTCTACCAATTGAGCTACAGAGGACCACAATCACGTCCTAATGTAAAAGCAGCACTATGACAGGGCAAGCTTGCTCCAGTGAAGGGCAGCTAATGCAGACGTTGAGAGAGGGCACAGTAATGGAGTAGCAATGGGCCAGAACTGGCCACAAACAACATTGATCTGAATAATGTGGAAGTGGCGACTGAATGGCAGGGCCCGAGGAAAAGTGTTTCTCCGGCTCAGGGTAATGACCAAGGAAGCCACATCATCAGTTGGCCTAGCAAGCAGGTTTAATTGTGTCTGTCCTATATCTAGGATACAGTGCATTCGGAAAGTATTCAGACCCCTTCACTTTTTCCACATTTTGTTACGTTACAGCCTTATTCTAAAATGGATTTGAAAAAATAATAATCCTTAGCAATCTACACACAATATCATATACTGACAAAGCGAAAACAGGTTTTTCAAATTTTTTGCAAATGTATTGAAAATAAAAAACAGATATACCTTATTTACTTAAGTATTCAGACCGTTTGCTATGAGACTCGAAATTGAGCTCAGGTGCCTCCTGTTCCCATTGATCATCCTTGAGGTTGTTTCTACAAGTTGATTGGAGTCCACCTGTGGCAAATTCAATTCATTGGACATGATTTGGAAAGACACACACCTGTAAATATAAGGTCCCACAGTTCACAGAGCATGTCAGAGCAAAAACCAAGCCATGAGGTCGAAGGAATTGTCCGTGGAGCTCCGAGACAAGATTGTGTCGAGGCACAGATCTGGGGAAGGGTACCAAAGAATTCTGCAGTATTGAAGGTCCCCAAGAACACAGTGGCCTCCATCATTCTTAAATGGAAGAAGTTAGGAACCTCAAAGACTCTTCCTAGTGCTGGCCGCCCGGCCAAACTGAACAATTGGGGGAGAAGGGCCTTGGTCAGGGAGGTGACCAAGAACCCGATGGTCATTCTGACAGAGCTCTAGAGTTCCTCTGTGGAGATGGGAGAAACTTCCAGAAGGACAACCATCTCTGCCATCTCTGCAGCACTCCACCAATCAAACCTCGCACCATCCCTACGGTGAAGCACGGTGATGGCAGCATCATGCTGTGGGGATGTTTTTCAGCGGCAGGGACTGGGAGACTAGTCAGGATCGAGGCATAGATGAACGGAGCAAAGTACAGAGATATCCTTCATGAAAACCTGCTCCAGAGTGTTCAGGACCTCAGACTGGGGCGAAGGTTCACCTTCCAACAGGACAACGACCCTAAGCACACAGCCAAGACAACGCAGGAGTGGCATCAGGACAAGTCTCTGAATGTCCTTGAGTGGCCCAGCCAGAGCCTGGACTTGAACTTGATCGAACATCTCTGGAGAGACCTGAAAATCGCTGTGCAGCAACGCTCCCCATGCAACCTGACAGAGCTTGAGAAGATCTGCAGAGAAGAATGGGAGAAACTCCCCAAGCTTGTAGCGTTATACCCAAGAAGACTCAAGGCTGTATTCACTGCTAAAGGTGCTTCAACAAAGTACTGAGGGTCTGAATAATTTTGTAAATGTGATATTTCCAACTTTTTTTTTTTTTATATAAATTTGCCAAAAAATGTTGAACCTGTTTTTGCTTTGTCATTATGCGGTATTGTGTGTAGATTGATGAGGGGGGAAACTATTTCATGAATTTTAGAATAAGGCTGTAATGTAACAAAATATGGAAAAAGTAAAGGGGTCTGAATATTTTCCAAATGCAGGAAATATATATATTATTTTTTTACACGTATTTAACCCCTTATTTTCCGGGGCACAAAACTACCTCCATACTTCCATTCGTTTTTATGGGTTACCTGCAGAAGAGTCCCTTGACACTTGTTGGGGGTCGTAGAGCAAAACGGAGAACACCATCCTGTTCGTGAGAGTCTCCCTTTTCCAAACGGTTCGGACGCTACAAACAGAAGTTTGCACATCAGCATTACCGACTTCAGACGAGCCCCGTTTGGACGCTACAGACGTTTTCGTGATGGCTCATGGTTTGAAAAACACAGCTGTACCTCGGTCACCTTCCACCGCAGATGCGGAAGGCCGACAGGCAGATGCAGTGGATTCAGACACAGCCCAAAACAAAACTGGATATCTCTAGCTTAAACTGACGGATTTTGATGGGGATTTTTTTTGGGGGGGGGTTACTTAGATTGGTGGATGGGTGCGTCAATATACTCTTAAGGATTAATGTTGATGGATGGAATGTAACATAGGAGATGTAAAAGTCACACCATATGGCTTTAGTAGGCAATGGCATGTTCTCTCTCTCTCACTTTCTCTCGCTCTCTCACTCTCTTTCGCTCTCTCGCTCTCTTTCGCTTTCTCGCTCTCTTTCGCTCTCTGCCTCTCTCTCCCTGCCTTTCCATGCATCTGGAGAGGCAATTCCCTTGCATCCACATAAAACAGCCATATGTCACACTGCCATTCAAACTGGGCAAGCATTAAGCACCGTGTAATTGTTGGATTTTCAGTTTTATAAATAGTTGCATTAATACGAAGAGAAGCCTGCGTCTATTTCCTGTTTTCTCATCTGCATTTTTGTTTATATCTTTAGGACGAGGGAGCGGACATCTCACCGTATACTCTACGGCATCAAGAAACATCATCATCACCTCTGAGAGAAACCAAAGGAAAGAACAATTGTGTGGTGTAAAAACAATATGGCGTCTCCTTCCTTTCCTCTCTTTCTGTGTAGCAGAGACATGAACAACATTAAGATACCCCACTTTGCAGCAGTAACTATATGAATATGGCCTGCTGCTGTCAGAAAAAATCTAATGTTACTGCATCTGCCCTAATTCACTCCATGGATATTCAATTTGCAATTGTTTTTGAGAGACTGATTCGATCATATTGATGCTAGAGAGAGAAGAAAATACTGATGTTGATAATAACTGTCACTCCCTTGAGTTATGTTCACATTTGTTTATGTGTGGCATTTAATTTCAGTACTGAACACAGTCAGAGAGGACAATTTTGCATAAGTGTCTAAGTTTTTGTCCTGTAGATTTTATCTCTTGTTTTTATTTTTTATTTGACCCGACAGTCATAAATATGATAAATGATGCACTATTGAAATCACAAATGTTTTTTTGAAAGGATTTGGAATTGTATGGAACAACATCGATCTTGGCAGTTTTGGGCCCTTACCCATGCATAAGAGATAGCCTTTAGCGTAACTTTTCCAGTTTATCAATTTATTACATGCATGCCCTGGGGGGATGTTCCATAATTTATTCCGACCTCCTGCCGAATTTCAAAGGGGAAAACGGGCTTCCTGTGATAGCCAGCCCACATCTGCCTTGGCGTCCTGCCAGGGAGCAGTGCCCCCTGCCGCCCCTGCACAGTCTGTACTATCCAGCATGGATCGCTCTATAGGAAGCTGTGCCCTCTCTCTCCATACGGATCTGATACAAGGAGATAAACTTATTTTAGCACACCGCTAAAATAAGTGGCTTAAAAACCTATTTGAGCGAAAATGAAAAGAGGGAGAATTTCAGTGCTGCACTGTCATTTATCTTGTTCCAATCAGCCTAATTGAATAATTAATGCAATTGCTCCCAATGGACTAATTAGACCAGTTTGAATTCATTGGTGGGATTGGACGTTGAAATATCTTTCTGTCAATTAAATTATAATTTTTATGTTCATCTTGGAGTCACCTAATACAAGGTCAAACAGAGTTCCATTGATTAAAAGTTTCTGATGACCTGAAAAGAAAGAGCAGTGGATTATATCAATGCACTTTCTTGTACAATTTCTAGGTTGCAATTCTTCTGCTGAACGAGCTATGTGTATTTGGAGTTGAATTACAAAGGTTCAGAAACTGCCTCTTTACATTAATCTAGAGGCAGAGATTCTGCCGGTAACTCTGTATGATTTCACAATGATATATGTTCTTGTGTCAAATTAAAAACAAAAATATTCCATTCTTCGCTCTCAAAAACATTGTTTAAAAGGCATTCAGGGTTTCACTGTGATGCATCCACACTACTGAAATACAACATTGTCACTATACCATTCAAAGCACATTTTAAGTAGGTATTGTAATAAATTAGATAACTATGTGGGCCAACTAGGTGGATCAAGAGAAATGCTCATTTTAGCATAGATGGATTTACTGAATTGCAGGCTTTGATTGAATCCTTAGCTGACACCATTGAATTAAGAAAAATAGTGTCAATAGATCAATTGTTTTGGTTTGTTTGGTTGATTGTTTGTTTATTTGTCTGTTAACGGGTCAATTGCAATAAGTAGTGTCTCATGTTTTCTATACAAGGTCATCTACGATTAAAATTTGACTCTATTTTGTCTGCCGACAGTTTATGCTACTCTGCAGCAAACCTTGGTATCAAAAGCAACGTGTAATTTGGTGCAAGTGCAGCCATCGTTTACATACAGAGGATGAACCCAAAAACATAGAAACACCACAGAGTTGGAGATGATCTTAAAGCCCAGACAATGAGATGATATCCTGATCTTGTTGCAATTGACCCCCTATGTTTAAAATAAAACTATACTGTATTAGGGATGGAAGTGGAAAAGGGTATTTTAGAAATGTGCAATTAAATAATATTGTTGTACAGTGCCTTCGGAAAGTATTCAGACCCTTTGACTTTTTCCACATTTTGTTACGTTACAACCTTATTCAAAAATGTATTACATTGTTTTTCC